AAACACATTTCATAAAACACATTTCATAAAACACATTTCATAAAACACATTTCATAAAACACATTTCATAAAACACATTTCATAAAACACATTTCTTCAGTGTCACCCAATGGCAAATAAAAAAGCAAGCAAAAAAAACTCTCCTGAACTCAAGACTACCAACAACAAGACCTAATAACTTGCATTGAAGAAGCACAAGTGCTGAGATGTACTATTAAATATCCTTGAGTTTCATATTCACAGAATCACGGAGAATCACAGGAGAGTTAAGGTTGGAAGGGACCTCTAGAGATCACCTAGTCCAACCCCCCTTCTCRAGCAGGAGACCTAGAGCACGTATATTCAGCCAGACATTTTGTGGGAGTGGTTAGCGTTAATGTCATGTATAATCAAAAAGGTCTTACTTCTTTCTGGTTCTCCTCAAACTTTGCAAAAGCCACGTACAAATGCTCATCCATGTGCTCTTCTCCAAAGAACTCCACTGCCCTCTCGTACACCTTCCTCGCGTGAGCAAAGTAACTGTGCTTCTCCTCAAAGCGGGCGTACTTGATCCAGTTTTTAACATCAGGATGAACAATAACAAGTAGATTTATGTTAAAGAAACAATAACAGTTGAATTGGACATTTCAAATTCTGTTCTTCCCACTCTCTACAGCATCGTGGACTTCACAGACTACAAAACACCACCCAAGGTGGAGGCCAAGGCAAGTGATACCTCTTGGAAAAAGATTTGTCTGAGCTTCAGGCAAAGGCTTCATGTACAACCATGAGAATTTAAGGAGAGGGAAAAGAAAAAAAAACAGGTGCAGGGGGAAGGGAAAAAAAATCATGCCAGAGTCAGGAAGTTTAAGGAACAAATGCACTAGAAAGGATATATCTTTCATAAATGGTACGTGCCCTGTCCACCTCCTTGTATCTCAGCTCGAAGTTAATATAGGAATGCCAGGCTTGCTCCTCTGGCTGCCACTCCATCCAGCGCTCAAACACCTGACGGGAGCCAGCAACATTGCCCAGCATCTCTTCCATGTAAGTATACTTATACCTTAGAAAACAAGATCAAGTGTTTACAATCACTTAGTAAATACTTAAAAGTACAATGATTTATTTTTTTGAGAATTCAGTTAGAGCATCACTGAGATTTCTCTACCTATTCACTCCTTCCAGAAGTGCCTATAGATACTGCTGCAATTGGCAACATGCAGATGCACAAGCATCTCTCTCCCACTACTCTTAACCCCCTGAAAAGTACAAAAACTTTCTATTTGGGGGGAATTAACCCACAGACACAGAAAGCACAGTGCCCCTTTCCACGATGTCTACATAAAATAAGTGACACATACTCTTTGAGAGTAAAAGCAATGCTCTAAACGCTGAAAACGTACCAGAACTGGTTGACCCTGGGGAGGGTAGTAATGGCTCGATCCCAAATGTTTCGGGCATGATTAACCTGGCGGTTCTTCATTTCCATCTCTGCATATTTCAGCCAGAGAGTGACATTTCTGTAGTCGACATCTAGAGCACGCTCGTAAATGGAGCGAGCTCTGGGAAAGTAAAGAGACATTATTGAAGTATGTTGAAAATAAACTGTGTCCCCAAATAACGTGTCAGGAGGTGTTTAAAAAGGTTTAAGAGAGGTGTCTGCATTATAGCATAATTACCTTTGTATTTCTTTCAGGCTTTCCTCCCATTGTGCATACTTTATCCAGTTACTGATAACAGTTCTGTTTTTTCTTATGTTATCTTCAAAAGTCTGAGGAGAAAATTATTTCTGTAAGTAGAAAACTCCTCTGTGCAAGACGATCTTGTTATCAGCTTACAGAATACTATTACAACTGGACCACGTTCCAAATATTGCATCCACAGACATTGAAACAAATCATACCAAAAATATTTTCTAAAAATTGCATAACAGAACCACTAGAAGCATAGAGCATCATATAGATAAGGACTAAGCTCCATCTGCTGCAATTTAATACATAGTGTGAGATTAATAACAGTGCTCAAGTCTTTTTCTTTCACCCTCGATCTCCCAGTTAGCCATTTCCAATGCTGAGTACACGAGTGCCATTGGCATGGGATAGGACAGTCACCAGTTCTCAATATACACATACGTGCTTCAGCCAGTGACATTCCTAATTTCCTAGACATTTCTTAGATCTCAGGACAATGGCTGTACCTGGGAAATGACTCAGTCTAGCTGAATAACATGTAAAGTTCATTGCTAGTGAGATACTTGTCTTTCTGCTGATTCATGACAGTAATTCTCAGAGAGCAGATCAAAACATCAACTAAGTTTGCACAGGCAAAGCAGTTCTCTTTATTTAAAGAATTGTTCACAAGCAAAGTGTTAAGTTTGAATGCAATCATCAAAACATAACCATGATTAACGTAGAAAATTATACTCTAAAGTCTGTCCAGTAACAACATCACACAGAACAGAAATGGCAGTTGGAAATCTATACCATTACCTTCTACTGTACAGTTTAGGTGGGGATGAAACACCAGCGTAAGTGTAAAGTTAGCTGATGTTACGTCAAACCAACGTGAAAGATACTGGGAACGATGAGGAAACTCCTCACAAACCACACAAAATTGCCTCAGACACCCAACACACCATGGTGTCCAATGTGTAAAGTACCAACCACCAAATTCCATGTCCAGCAGCATGTTTATACCTTGAAATTTCTGCATAAAAATGACTTTTTTTTTAATTGAAAAGTTTGGGGTTTTAATAAATTCTGCTTACCTAAAAAGGCACTATTAATGCAAAACATGTTTTGCCGGCATTGAGAAATTGTAAATTTTTAGCTSTTTATATGAATAGCAATATTTTTTTCTCATTTTTCCCCGCCTTTACCTTCCTTTTGCGGAGTTTGTAGTCATTGAGCTCCTCTACATCTGTGATCTTCTGCTGGGGGGGCGGCGGCAGGAGCTCGAGCTCTCGCTCTTTGGCTTCTCGCAGAAGCTGCTCCGCTGTGATCTGCACCTCGGCGGGCGCCTTGTTTTTCACCTGCAAAACAAGGGCGAACTTGAAGCTTTCTCGCGCCAACGCCAAAAACAAAACAACCCACCGTGAGGAATTTTATCTTTAACCCAGGCACTCGCTGCGCCTGGTGGTAGCAGAGCAGGATCCGGGGCCAAGGAGGGGGAAAGGGGGATCTTTAAGGCGCGTAACGGCCCGGAGCGGTTAAAAGCAGAAGGAAAGAGAGGGAGAAGCCCCGCGGAGCGGAGCGCGCGCGGCCCTGCCGCCACCTTCGCCACTTTGGGGATCCGCTGCTTCCCGGCCGCCGTAGACGCCATCTTGCCGCCGCTGCCACGCCTGGCCCGCGTCACCTCTGACCTCACGCAGCGCCGTTGCCGCGGCGACGGCGGCGCGTCCCAACGGCTGCGGCGCGCGCGCCTCCGCCGCGGGGGGAGGCCGCCGGAGCCGGCGCTCGGTCTCGCTCCAGGGGCGGCGCGGAGCGGGGCAGCCGCCGTCCGGCAGCGCGGGGAAGGTGAGAGCCCGGCCTGGCCCGGCGGCAGCGGCGGCAGGCGCGACCGCGGCTCCCGCTCCCCGGCCCCGAACTACGCTTCCCATCGCCCCCTGCGCGGCCTGGCTCCCGGCATGCTCTGCACGGCGCCCCCAGGCGGCCGTTAGCAGCGCTGCAACACCACCAGCCTCCCAGCCGGGGGGCCTGGTAGCCGAGGTCTAAAGGAGTAACGGCCGTGAAGGGTGGGGCTTATTTACTGCACAGCAGAGGTCAATATTAGTAACAATCGCCGGAAAAACCTCTCGTCTCTCTCGCACGTCTTGTCCCAGCTCATTTCCGCTGCTTTTGCTTGCAGCTAGCCCAGCCCTAAGGCCCAGYAGCCTCCCTCTTGGCTTTAAAATGCAGGGTGTTGCCTGAGAATCTCTCTTAGGCTTAAAAGGTGAATATTTAATTAAAAATTAATGAGTTAGACAATTAGGAATTATGCACCAAAGAGATGGGCATAGAGCTGCTCTGTTTGGTTGGTTTGCATAGCTATTGCAGGCTGCTCTCCTAATAGAGCCACAGAAGCTGTGGTAAAGACAGTACCTTTTGTTTTTATAAAAACATTACCTTTTTTAACRTGTAAGTGCTGCTCTTGGCCTGTCCCAGTTGCACATGAAGCTGAGCAGCTAAATGCAGAAATTCTAGTAAACTGCACCTTGTTCAGCCCAAGTAATCTTAATGCTGACCTTAAATTTGTTACCAGAATTTCACCTTGTTTAGCCTTATGAGGATAAAATTAATAAAAAGCAATCATTTTAGCAGCCTCACAGTTTAAAGTTACTTAGTTAAATGCCCTAATGGATTGCACGGGCATCTCGTGTGCTTGCGTTGGAAACCATTCTTCACCTTAGTGTAACTGCTTCCACTCCGCTGGAAAGCACAAGTGTGTCTTACAACTTAAGACACTGGAGAAATTACCTACAAAAGCTGACGTTTTTTGTGGGGAGGAGAGAGGACTAAACATTATTTTCATGTTCCGTATTAATTAGGTACATTCAAGCCTAGCTGGATGAATGAGGCAATTGARGGGCAGTGACCATAACTATTTCCATACAGGGGTTAGAAACAGTGTAATGCTTCTGTATATGTGATGCTTCTATATGTAGCAAAACAGCTCTCACTCACCAGATCAGATTTCTGGAGGACAGAAATTTACCCTCTAGTCATTAGAGGAAAAAATGAGATACATTTTTATATAAAAGATGTAGGGTCCTGGATTTCCTGCACTGTCTCACTTTTGTTTGGCTCTGTGGGGCACTGTTTATGGTTATCTGGGTTTGGAGCTGATGTCAGAAATGGTGTTTTATTTGATTGACTGGTGAAAGGGTTCTGCTAGCCTGGATATGTTGTCTCTGACTTTTTTGAATTAGCAGTGCAATGTTTTACACATGTAAATTTAAGAAATTGTAGCAAATGACTCTTAGGTCTATTTTTATGTTTTTACCTGCCTATTTTTTATTACTGTTACCACAGGATATAATGCATCCATACAGTAATGGGTGGCAACACAGCTGGATGAGAAGTGAAGTTAGTTGGTAGTCACAGATGGGCTGACTGCGCCTTGCCCTCTMTGCTCCCAGTTTGGCCGACATCCTAATAAAACACTTGGGACCTGACAAACAACGCAAATGTGGTACTAGGTTCCATGTTTTCCTGTGGGGAAGCTATAGAGCTTTTAATTCCTTCTGAAATTTAAACATCAGTGTTCATTTAAAAAAAAAAAAAAAAAAAAAAAAAAAAAAAAAAGCTTTAGGAGCTGTTTTGGACCCATTTAAGGTTGCTGTTCAACTTTATTAAGACATGATGATTCTGAGAGCTTGAACTGGTCCTGCCAACCCTCTAGACTGAAAACTACAAAGAATTTGAAATGACARACAGTGAGTACTGCTCTGATAACCAGCACGTGGGTGCCTTTTAGTAAGTGAAAAGATGCAAAAGCAGTTCGTAGTGCATTAAAAACAATTGTGTAGCATGTGGAATGTGTATACTGGGTATGCGGGCCTGCTGTATTTCCACATGTGCACAGCATACATGCAATATCTATATACAGGGAGCAGTCATGTATATGTGTGCCTGCAAGAATTAGGCACTTAAATTGCAATCCTCCCAGTGTTTTAAAAAATTCCATTTCAAGGAACAATGTTCAACAACAAATTGCTGCAGGATCTGCTAGAACAGCAATGTTTGCCTTCTTCYGGTTACAGTCTGTAACGATGACCGCAATAACTTCAGCAAGAGGAAAGACAGAAGTGGTCAGTGCCAGGAGGACAGAATCGCACGATATCCCRGATATCATCAACCTCATCCACAGCTCTACAAAACACACTTTTGGAAGGGTTAATGTCACATATCTTTTGTAAGTAACTATTTAGGTCTATTATATTATCATTCTTGCAGGAAACGTGAAGAAGTTGTGTTATCCTTAAAAGAGCAGATGAACATGAGCCTTGATGCAGTGTAGGACAGTGATTTTTATTTATTTATTTTTATGTAATTCATCAGAAGGAAAGAAAATCTGCTTCCATCTCATTTCTACTACAAATGCACATGACTTTGCTGCCTTGGATCACTGGAAACAGCATTTGGCTCTATCCTACATTGCTTTTTGTATAAGTTCATAGGAAATATTACCTTGATTAACCTGTTAGATTCCAATGTGCACTGTGTACTTCATCTCATGGAAGCCATTTGTCAGTGGGAGGGCATTAAAATAGAGGGGTGGGGATTAGGGGGTTTGCTGCGTGATCAGGACCCTTCTGTTCTCTTTCTTTGCTTATGTCTAAACATTTCCCTTCTCTGCCAGCTTCCCCTTAAGGAAAGGAGTTGTTAGGGTTGGGTTTGAGTTCGTTGTTGTTGTTCTTCTTTTTTTTTTTTTTTCCTCCTCTCTTGTTCTGCATTGAGAGAGAGGCTCCCTCCATCTGCTGTGAAGTTTATGTTTCAATGTGCCTCCTCCTTTGTACTCTCCTACCACTAAGATATTTAATATCCCCCATGTTAGGACATCTGTATCCTAGCTGTTTGCAAGGGAAGAAACATTTGCAAAAGCAAGTCATCAACACCTTTTCTATAATATGTACAGTACTAGAGACTTTTCTGGAGGTCTAGATATATCTGGTTAAAAAACACAATCCCCCCCTAAAAAAGAAGGAAAAAAAAGTCCACAAACAAAAAGCCTTAACATTTGTAACTTGTATTTACATCTGTGTGTTACATATTAAGAACCCTGTTTGAAGACCAGCTGAAGAGCCATATATGAAGTTAGAATTTAAAACAGTGAATGTGTGGGAGTCTCTGTGCTGAAGTGAGAGGCGTTTTATGTTAGGTCTGAAAGATACAGACTTGTGGAAAGAGTACAGCTTGAGTTTATGAATGCAAGAATAAGGAGGAGGGACCACAAAGTTCTCTCAGAATAATACTTCTTAGTTCAGGACATTTTATTTGTACAAGGGCTTTTGGTGTATTCCCATTGTGAAATGTAGTATATACGTGTGGCCTCGCCTTTTATTCCAAGGTACTATTGAATCTGTAGCCCTAAAGGTGCCTTTGCTTTGGAAATGGAGCCCTGGGCAGGCTGACTGCTGCTTGGGAATGCACCCTGGGGCATCCCGAGGTCAGGTTTCAGCCTTCATCTGTGCCGGATTCGCTTTCAGTCCGTGCAAAACAAAGTAAAAACAGGACTGTCTCAGCAATAATATAGATGTTTTATTGCAAGAAAGTAAGATCCTGCTAAGAGCAAGCTTATTTTGAACTTTTCTATTTAGCGAAATACTATATAGTGTGAGTACAGTTGTTTTATAACTCAGTCATTTCCCAGTTAGTATTTTTAAATGGTAGATATTTTTTCTTGATAGTTTACAGCACTTCTTTTATATTTGCGGGGTTTCCTGGGATAGTATTTTGAAATGTGGACATACTCAATAGCTATGACATGCACAACCAGCATAATGAGAGAGAGGAAAGGAAACTACAGACAACTATTTTAATGTCATTACACCCTTATGACAGCCTTTGCATCTGTTTTGCATAGTTCTAGAAGATATCCTAGTAATTAAGTGTAAAATTCCCCTACACATTTTTTAATGTAATTTCTTCAACTTTTACATTTAAATTGTTTTGACAGAGAAAAATCAAATCTTGCTGTGACACTCAGCAATGAGAAGAAAGAGGCTATCGCCCATGCTTTGTTTCTGGACTATCCAAATTGGAATATCACTGATCAGTCTGACTGGGAATCATTCTTACATGAAAACTACACTAACAACAAATGCACAGTAAGTAAACTGTGAAGTTCTAGTTGAGTTTCACTGAGTGCACAGATAYAAAAATAGGCATAGGCATCCAAAATGTAATTTAGGTACAATTTGGGCATTCAGATTCCTCACCCAACTCTCAGTTGCTCAGAAGTTGATGCTTTTGCCACTGAAGTAACTTAAGGTCTCTGCCATTCTGACAGAGGCTCCTAGAGAAGTGCAGGTCCTGTCCTTTGCTGGCATTCTCAGAATGTGTCGAGCGTGCCGTGATAGTACGGGGAGCATCGTAGCTGTTACCAGTGCTTTTCACTGAAAACCCTGTGTAGCTATAGTGTCATCTAACAGATTTTTTTCCAGGAGATAGAGATCTTGCTCTAAGGTTCTCCTCACCACCAAGTCCTTGAAATCTTCATTTCTCCCCTTGTGGAATAAGAGTTGCTCTTCTTTAAAATGGAATAGAAATTGAATGGGCTCTGAGAAAGATTGAGGGCCGTAACCTGTTTGGAAGGACAATGACCTACACTGGGCAGAGGGCCCTGCTGCCAGGAATGTCTTGCTTCTGGAGCTGCCTTGGCCAGGGCTGGTGTGGCAGTTGCCCACCCCATCTTGCATGATGTCAGTTTTCATACAGACTCATTGGTCCCAGGTTAATGAATCTCCTTCCTCGAGCCACACTCGGAGTTCAGCACATGAGTGCTGCCCATCATCCAGTCCATCTGGGAACTGGATCTAGGATTGTTGCAAAGAAGATGGAAAATGTTGGCCATAAACACTCAAAGCCTAGGCAGTATATGCCAAAATGATATACTGGCATTATGGAAATTACATTCACACAGTTTGTTCATCAGTTTTCCAATGTTGTCCTGGATGATATTAAACAACGGCTTGCAGGAAAACTGGCAGAGTCAGCARTTGCATTTGAAAATGCTGTATGTGCCGCTAAAAGAAATTGAAAATTATTACAACTAAGGAGGGTGTAGAAAAACATGCTATTTTCTTATAATCTGTTCTCTTTGTCACTTGACAGCACTTTGTGTGCAGGCATATGGCAGGCACAAGCACTTCATTTATTGTGCAGCTGCAGCTGCCCGCGTTGGGTCGTGCTGTGCTGTCAGTTCTGGAAGCGCCTCCTCGGGCTGGGTGCTTGACAATATCCCTGGCAGTAAAGCTGCAGCTGACATCGGAGCGCAGGGGCACGCAGGGAGAAAAAGAAACAACAGAAAAGGAGAACTTGAGCATGTTAATAGTTCCTGCTCATAAACAGGGGAGAAAGACCTTTCTGAATGTTAACAAGGAGCAGAAGAACCCTTGTTTTTCTAAATACATTATTTTTCCAAAATCTGTACATACCATTCAGTAGATGTTTTATGCTTCTGTACTGCCAAAACAACCAAACGTGTTCTGAGTTATAACTACATGAGATAACAATCACTTCACTGCAGGTTAAATCCATGCCCATGTGCTCAACAAAACTGAGGCCTTTCTGAAAACAGAGATTCTTCAAAGTGTAGCTGGCTACTAGTGTCTGCAGAGCTCCGAAGGGATGAGTTAGTATAAGAGTCTAAATTATGAATTGAAACTATGAACTGAAATTGTGAAACAGGATTATCAGGTTACCAATGCTTTTCAGAGCTGGTTACATGTCAAATTCTTGCCTCCTGGGCCGCCTCTGGAGCCTCGAGAAATCGCCCTTATTTTTTTTCCCTGCTTTCTTTTTCACATTTTACAAAATACGTAAGTCTGATATTTAGAAATGGCTCTTCATGTTTATTCATTAAAACAGCGTGTTATCTTTAGGGCTATACCATTACTGCAGATCTCTAGTAAAATCATCCTTGCTGTCAAATTGCGAAAATTCTGTGGTGACTCTAGCCATTACATTTAATTGAAGATTAAACTATTCAAAAAAAATGGGAAATTTTCCTATTTCAAATACATTTTGTGGAAGTGCCTTGTCTACAGTTGGACCTGAATTACCTCAACACTTGGGGTAAATATGCAAGAGAAAAGAGCTGAATGAACAGAGTTACTGTTCCAGTACTTTTTTTCCAGGTTAACTGCAGTCTTTTAGTCTGCCCTGTTTCTGGGTGGACATGTAAATGAGCCTAATGGTGTAATCTTAAGTTTTACTTATTTTTCTTCCTTCTTTTAAGAAAATAGTTTTTGGAGTGTGTGGAACTGTTTTAACTTGGAAAGAAAAAAAATATCCTTTCTTCATCAGCAAAATGTTGCTAAGATTTAGCTGTTGAATTTAAATACCGTTAATGTTGAATTAACATTGTTAACAAAAAGAAACAACAGTGATGCATGTAAAATGTGCTCTAATGATAGTCAGTTGAGTGTAAATCATTATCAAAAATATTACAGAAGCATAAATTGGACCATTATACACATAGCTTTATCTACCTAGACACTTTTATCCATGTATGTGAAGCTACTCGTTTTGCATGCAGATTATATAGAATGAAAATAAATGAGCATATTAACATTTGGATTCAGTTATTAAATACTGTATGCTTGGAGTGTAGATTCTCTTTCTTTACACTGCAGCCTTTGAACACATTGTTCTTGCATCTTTTTGTGGCGAGAGACGAATATGCAGCTGGATGTTCCCAAGAAATTGTTAGGTGAGTTAATATGTAACTTTCTGTAGGGGAGCATGTACACTTTCCTCCCATCACTGTAGAGGTTATGAAATTAAAAATACCCAAGATAAACACTGGATCAGAATTAGCTGTCTCTCTAAACAGTCTCAGAAGGTAATAAATCCTAACCACGTATTAATCAAATACACACTCTCAGTTCTGAAACCAAAATGTTCCAGTTCCGAGTATATTTTCCAAACAGTGTTAAACATTAGCTGTACGTTTGCTGTAATTTTCCACAGAAATATCAGTACTGCAGTTGCAAGGTAGATTTTTTTTTCAGAGTGAAAATTCAGGAAAAAGAAAAATCAAAATGTATAATTGAGTAGGAAGCTTTAAAAAGCTGTGGATGTTTATGGAATACAGTTGTTCACATGTGGGCTTTTGTATTAGCTACAGATTAAATAGTAGAGGGACTATGAACTATATAGTACAAACAGCACTATATAGCATTGTGCTAGCTTAGCAGTCAAACAGGTGTTGCTCAGGTTGTTTGTTACAGTTCACAGCATCCCTTCATAAACAGAGTAAATTACATTTAGTGCACTTGCTGTCAAATTTASAGCTACTTTGTAATGTCAAGCAAGCATGCCGGGTCAGATCTGCCAGCAGATACCTGGCATCTTTAATTAATTTTTTCCCCACTGGGGAAATGATTAAAAAAAGGAAGAAGTATGAAATCAAAAGATTGTGAGATTAAATAGAAAGAAAAAAGGATAGGAAAAAAACAGTAAAAAATGCCCAAGTGATTTTTCATATGATCCTATTTGTGATAAAATATTTTTATTTTGAGCCATGTGGATTTATGAATGAAGATTAGAGACACTACTCTTTTTTTTTTTAAACCGTGAAAGACTGTTGTGCCTAATGTATATAGTAATTGAAGACTGAATATAATTATGTTATCTGTCCAGGACAATTTTTAATGTAGTACCAGAACTACAATTTGTTCTTCTCTTCATGCCAGCTGATGAGAATTTAGGTAAGAATTTAATACCATTTTATTTTTAAAATAATGAGAGCAATTTCAAATCTCATCATCCTTAATATACACTGTTATTTTTTTTCATATACTAAGAGCAGTCATCATTTTCTAAACATGCAGAAAACACAATCCTAAAACACCTTTTAATGGTCATCCCTTGTGAAAGAGGTTTGTGTGGTCACAGGTTCCTTCCAGCAGTCCATTCAGCCATATTTCCATTTCATATAATTTTGAACTCATAACGTTCTCAGGCAAATTTAAACAGAGGTGTAGCCATCTCAGAAATAAATTGCTATAAGTTTGGTGAAGTTGTGTCTGAGCAGAGACAATTGAGACAGGTGCTCAGGCTGTGGCAGGGCACTTAGCCTACGTATGTACACGCATCCCCAGGCCTGGTACCCAGACATCTTATAATACATTTATATTGCTTGACTAAGTGGGTACAGTGGGAGGAGAGAGCTCAAGATTTGGGGAGGAGTGCAGCAAATCCGAACCCAGCCGGAGCTCCAAAGATGGAGGATGCTCAACAGACTTCATTAGCTCCACTGTTCAGRGCACAGTGTGTAATTTGGAAAACAAGACTATTAAACCAAGCACTTGRCTATTCATGGCTCTCTTTTTTTTGGTTTGGAGCTTTCCTTGAAATATATGGGAACCGTTCCCCGTATGTTGATTGCCAGTTAGCTTAAGTTTCAYGTAACACAACTCTCTTATTGGTAAGTCAGCTACAGAGAAAAATAACTGAATAAAGGTTTTTTGCTGAAACTACCTTAACATCAAATCTCTTGACAGAGATTCTCCATTTGTGTGTAGTTTTGGTCATGATGCTGCCTTTTCTATAGAGATTTGATCCTGGCAATTTCTGATTGCCTTGAAGTTCATTCAGGTTTCATATGCAGCAAGCTGAGTGGGCTCTCACCCTTTTCTTTTCACTGTGAGACACTAAGGAAATAAATATTGATTCGGAGGAGCTAAAATAATTGACTAGATAATCATTGACAAGTTAATCCATTAACACTTCTTTCTAGGGCCATTTCAGCATCATTGCATAACTAAAAACACAGCATTATTTCATCACTTATCTAATTTCAAAACTCTCTTTTCCTCAGTTTCGCTGATAATTTAAAAGTTTACCTAATGCCATTTCTCTGCTGCTGCTAACAGATTTGTCATTTACAGACCCAGCCTTGGGAAATATTTTTGAAGAAATGACAGCAGTGCCAGGCTGCACCATGGATCCAAACTTCACTTTGCTCGCCTGTCACAGGCATCAATACTGCCCACAGCTGTATGTTCGCAAAGCAAGGTAATGCAGTTTGGTTTYTCCTCCTCCTGCGAGACTAGGTCCAGGTCAAYTAAAAAAAAAAAAACAACTCTTTTCTAGTTTATCACCTCAGTTCAACTGCTGTTTTCCCTGGGTAACYTAATTAAATATTTGTTTTATAATTATGGTTCCTTTATTCAACTTCATCAAAAGCTTAACTTTTTTTTGTGTGTGTGATTTTATATAAAAATAATGCAGTTTTTCAGCAGAGATGTTTATTATATGAATGTATTGATTTAATCACATTGTTTCCTATTTTACTGAATGCATTTGAGCTCTTTACTATAGTTTTCAGGTCTCAGACCATATTACAACTAAATTATTATTTCTTTTGCTGCATCCTATTCTGATCAGTTAAGCAAAGTCTGAAGAGGAGGATTTACCATCTAAAGGAATGGTGTAGCAGTTGGTTTGAGTAGTCATTCAGACACAGAGAAATACCCTCCTGCTTTGCTACAGTTTCACTGTTTCATGTGTCTTCTCCCATTGTGTTTCAGGGGAGCAGATGTGCTCAGTGTTGCTGAGGCAGCTTAAGAAAATAATGGGGTACCTCCTAGTACTACTGTACCTGCTTTTCTTTTTCTGTCATTTTTATCACCTATTTCAATGTGCATAGTTGGAACAAAGGCTGGCATGATACACTTATCCAAAGTGCCACTTAACACAGCCTTATTCTTGTTTGGGGATTTTAGTCATAAATGGTGTTAAAAGTCAAAGGGGGAAAAAAAAAAAAAACCTTATCCCTCCCAGCCTGAGAGACGCAGGTTTGTGGAGCAGCCGTGCTGGCTGCTGTCTAGCTGCACAGTGACTGTTGCCACTCTTTCTTCCTGCCATTTGAAATCTGCTGCCTCTGCCAAATCACAGCTTTCTGTGCTTGTGCCAGCATTGTGTCCAGGAAACCAGAAATGCAGAGTTTTCCCCTATTTGGCCCTTGATTTTTTTCTATGTAAATTGCTGCACCACCCACTCTCTTCCCTGTAGTGCATTCAGAGAATATCCCTCACATTTTGGTTCACTCACTTGTCCCCTTCACACCGGGAAAAGTGCACATACGGTAATATTTTAAGTGATTATATTTTTCTTCCATTCTGATTTTCTTTGGAGCTGTTTTAGTGTAAGCCCTACATAACTACCTTATGTAGCAGAATTATGAATAAAGAAGGGTTGCTGCTACTGCCAGTGGAAGTTGGTGAAGTCCGTGATGTTCCTCATTTTAGGGACAAGCCTATCCAGGGTGGTTGCATCGTATGGCACTGATCTGTGCTTAATAACCTGGTGCGGTGACCTGGGCTAGCAGGGGAGCTAAGAGTAGCGCGCTGGACTTGTCCCTCTGTGTGCTAAATTGGCTCTTAGCATGTGGGGTACTTGCTGCTACTCTGCTGGACTGGATTCTGACACAATTCTGTCTGTCACAGAGATGTTTTAGCCTATTTAACTTTACCAAGCAAGYCTGAAACGGATTGCTCTTTGTGCTCTTTGTCCATCTATTTTTAATTAACGTTTATGACATCCAGAGACTCACTTTTTTGAGTGTTTTGAGTATAAGGACTGAAGTCTGACCTGGACAGTCCTGCTGAAGCTCTGGATTTTTCAATGTGTTACAAAATCATTTGCATATTAATTAGATCTACACTTTATAGGCTTTTAAAAAGTATTTCCTTTTCATTTTCTACCACCTATCAACATGTTATGGAAGGTTAGTATCTTTAATTCCCAAGGAATTAAAGATTTCCATATCCCTTGATTCTGCCCATTATGTTTGTTTTTTTTTAAATTTCATTTGAATCACATTCTTGTGATGGCCAGTAGATATTAACATTAGAAGCTGTTTTTCCTACAACTAGAAATGTCAAGAAGGCTCTTTGAGTCTTACACAGAAGAGATATATTACRCAGAAGCGATAGTACCTTGCCTGGGATCTTTCTGTAGCTTGTTATGAATAATAACACTTTTTTGGCTTTAATAAAAAGCAACATTGAAAACTAAGCAGGAAACTGCTTATTTATTTTAAATTTCACAGACCTCCAGATGTAAAATTCATGCGTAACCCTTGGCTATCACTAGATTCTTTGAGTCAGCTAAATTATATTTCAGGGGTGCTTTGCCTTTTCTTTTCCACTGCCTTCACCTTTGTACTTCATTGGCATCCATAGTAACATTCACTGGAAACCCTTTAGGGACTTATCTCTGAAAGCTGTCCCCAGCCACCTGCCTAGCAACATGGTCTGGGTCAATGATAGGAGATTAGGGTAATCTCTGTTCCCTCTTCCTTTACTTACAGGGGAAAAAATGCTGTAAATTGATAGTTTGCTTAATCATTATTTTCTGAAGTTTTCTATGTTGACTTTTAAAATGCAAAATAAATCCGTAGTGTGCCAAACACAGTCATCTCAGCTTTTATATTTAAGTTTCTTGGGGGTATATTCTCTTTATTTTTTTCGTCATCGTTTTTGTACCAGATTGAGCTGTTTCCCTCAGCATGGGAATTTGCCTGAATCTTCGTATTGCAAAGCTATTAAGTTCAAAACAAACATACAAACAAACAACCACATAAAAAAAAAAAAAAAAAAAAAAGAAGGAAACCAACCCTATGGTGGTAAGGGGCCCATACAATATATACAATATAATATAAGGGACCTGCCTGCAGTCTGTAGTACACGGGTAAATGATCGCGCTCATGCGGAGTGTCACATTGGCAAAAACACTGGCAAAAGACTCATTTTGGAGGTGCTCAGCATATCATCTGTCCCGGCAAATAGCACATCTCAATGACAATACAGCCCCATTCCTTTACCACTAAATTACTTCATTTTGTTAGAGGTTTCATAATACATTAACCATTTTGTTATACTAATGAATTACTTTGAAGCCGTGAAGTTCTGATCCTAGAAAGTTCTGCTACTGTTTTTCCCTTGAGATAATTGCTTCAGAAGAAGAGAAAGACTACTGTTTAGATTGAAAATATAAAGTATTACAATTAATAGATTTTTTTAACAAAAATTCATTATTCTTGGAACTTAGTTTTTGTTGGAGCTTTTGAATAATATCTATAGATAAGAGATTTATTTTCTGTTATATTTTAGGGTATTCTTTTTTTCTTACATATATAATTTATTACAATGATGACTCTTGCTAAAATTGGAAAAAAAAAACATGCTAAAGTGTACACTTGTCCGCACTGAACAGTCATCCCCAGTTATGAGTGGACAGTCACAATAGTCATCTCTGTTGGATTTTCACGCTGACTCTAACTTAAAAACTGTATGAACGAATCTCAGGGCTGCTCATCAGAACAAGAATTAAATTATTGAAAACTCCTGGCAGATGGAGTAGTCCTGCAACAGGGGATCCCCTAAAGGTCACGAGTTAAACATATATCCATTCTGCTAAAAAGGCTCTAAGACCATATGTACCAGATACTCCCTGGAAGCTAAACCAGCTCTCCCTTACTGTCCATGCTTCACAGACAAGCCGCTTGGTGACCTAAACAAAAAGAGGTCAGTGCAAGTGGATCACGAATGGAAGGGGGTCCTGGGTGTTATCTGCAGGCTGCTCCTGAGCAGGGGGAGGAACAGGAGTAAGAAGAGTAACGCTCAAGCAGATGGCTGGAAAAAAAAAAGAATATTTAAGAAATATATAAGACCATATGTTATAGAAAATTATATGTGTAAGAATGTATAAGAACCATATATTATAAATCTTATCTAGTCTATATTATATATGTATTATATTTTATAATATGTAAGAGTAATATTTATGTCAGAATCAAAGGGGTCACTAGTCTCTAGGATGGTCTTGCTCTGAAGGCCATGTTCATTTTGGTGTGGAGGAGCATCAGAAAGCATCGAGATGCCACTAAATCTTCCTTCAGGCTTATGTCAAAGTTTGTTAGTATTTAGAAACTCAGACTACTTTYTTTTTTTAGCTCAGTGGTCATTCAGGCTTCTTCAAAATCAAGGAAATTATAAAAAGCAAAAATTAAATCAATGATTTTTTTTCCCTGAACTACTGCCTACAGAGAGCTAAGATCTCTGAATCATAGGCATAGGAATTCAGATACATACACGCTTGAGCAATAGCAGCCCAAAGCAAAATCCTGTTTTTCCTAGAAGTGAGGGAAGTGTTAATAAGCATTCCTGGTTATCTATCTCCAGAATAGCATGGGATAGTTATTGTTTTTGGTATTTTTGATATTAGATATTTTGATATATGTATTTAAAAAAAAAAAAAAAAAAAAGATAAATATTTTAGAATATTCCTCTACCTAGAATATTCCTCTAACATCTTATTTTAGGGAGGTTAAGAAAAAGCTATTTCAGTTAAAGAATAATGGTGGTATGGAGTGATAGGAAGGTAAAGTTCTTGTCATATTGTGAAGGGTTGCTCCTAGCTGCTGCACTTTGGGGTTATTGGATTATTAGTCCTAAGAAACGTTATTGTCCTTTCATTTGTCAGCCTCAGAGTGTGGCCTCCAGAGGAAAGGAACATTTAAGATCTTTCAAGAACCTTTCATTTTAACTGGGTATTAAAAAAAGGTCTTAATACCAGATTAATTTTATTTGTGAGATAGTAAAAATGAAGAAATGAAATGAAATTCACATTAGATCAAATTTCAATTGAGAGAGGAAGAAAAAAACTATATTATTGTCTGTCTCACTGTGGATAGTCAAATCAAGCACAAGAACCAGCCAAGGAAGAAAAGTGTGAGAATGCTTTGAAATTAAACAAAACCTTGGGGRAAAAGAAAATCATTTAAATCGAAGGAATTGCGGGTTGTACAACATTAATACAACTAAAGCTTATGATGATTGGCAAAGAAAAAAAGCTTATTAGAGGTTTAATCTCTCCCAGGTGGTAAAGGAGAGATTCCAGTAACAGGTAAGAGTCTTCGACCCGTGAAGCCTCCCAGGGGAAGGCAGTTGCTTTGGTTCTTTAAATTTTTGCAGGGAAGGGTTAGCTGCCTTAGGGAGCACATGAGAGCCCTTTGCCACTAGAGGTCATTGGAGACCTTGCAACGAAATATTCTCCCACTTCATGACCAGCGTATAAGGACCAGGTTTGTTTTTATCAGTACTTTTTTTTTATCAGTATTTATGTTTTTAACAGTACTGCTGCAGAAGGCAGGACCACCGCGCTCCAGGGGATGCCATGTCTCCTCCCCTCGGTTTAAATGCTCTCCCCCTCAGCCTTCTCCTTCCATCGGCGTGAGATAGCTGAAGTGACCAAAGGCAGCTTTAGTAGTAGCCTATTTATGTCATGGAAGAGAAAACTTTTTTTAAGTGTATAATCTAGTAGCAAAAGTCCTGCCTTCTCAGGGGCTCCCACAGCCTGTATTTTCTGCCTTTCTAATTGTAGACTTGACCGTTGAGCTGCTGGTTTTTGTTATCATGTTTAGCTCGGTAAATAAGAAAGGGACTTTCATCTTATTGAAGTTGTGCATTAGAATGACTTTGCCATAGGCTTTCGTGCTATGATTGCAAGCACGTGTCTGTTGAATTCCTTCGTTGCATTTTCTGTCCATTGGTGAAATAAATGAAATATATTGTTAAAGGATGTATTCATCCTGGTTAAGAGTTACAWTTAAGTTATTTAGTGGAAAAGAGTGTTTATGTTTTATGTCTGTTTAAATAAAAATCCATGCAGTGGGGGACCTGCATAGGTGTTAAAGCTGGACTGAYTGGAAAGCAACATCTGCAAGGCCCATGGTATGGACGCGATGCAGAAGTAGTGGAAGCAGTTGGAGGTTTGACCCTGCAGGTTCCCACACGTGCAGTGCCTCTTTCCTGGGGGAAAATCCGAGGGATTCAGCAGTTGCACTTCGGCCCTTGCACCTCTTTTAATGGTGAAGCCTCAACTTGGCCTTGCAGAGGCAGAGCAGCTCTGCTTCTGTCAGGCCATGCTGCCCTGCTGTGTGTGATAACAGGAATCTAACTAAGAATTGTTATTAACCAATATTAATAAGCAAGATTTTAGTCTATGTAGCTGTAATCTACCCAATATCTAAGCATGCTTTCTCCCATACTGGAAAACACCATTTTGTTTTTTAACTAGCTGATAATTAATTTAAATAATTTTCTAAATTGCACTCGTAAAGCTGTTTTGAGATCTCAACCAGACAATGATTAAACTCACTTAATATAAATACTGTAAATGAGTCCAGGTTCATTCAGCCAAACTAAATGCCTCGTTCTTAGTAAAGGTTGGGCAACCCTCTCATTTTGTTGTAGAAAGATAAACATCTCCGCTGGGCCATGAAGCTCATGAGTCAGTTGTGTTGCCTCTATCTCTTCTTTGGTGTTGAGGGTCCCAACAGAGGGTTAGGGGGTTTGRATCAGATGTTCCTGATTTCTCAGGATGATGCCACAACGTAATGGCTGGACTGGGACCTGCGAGTAGCAGAGCGTTAGGACATGACTCCATCTCTTTCATAGACTGGAAGACCATGATGATCTCGTGCCAATCTTGGCACGTCACAGCAGAACTCTGAAAGAAATCTATGGTGACTATTTCCTTGTTGACCTCTTAGAAACTCAAGATGAGGAAAATCAGGCTGTTGTTGGTGAGGTAAGTCTGTCGTGCAGTTTTGTCTACCATTAATGCTACTCATGTCATATGTGAATATGCTCACAGCAGAGCTTACTGAGGGAAAAGATCAAGCTCCCTTTTGAAGGGTGCAGCCCACAATTTTGAAGGGTGCACCGGGCCCTCCACCATTTTCTCTGTGACTTTCTGTTCTTCAGAAATGAGGTCTGCTGTTAAATAAATGAAGCTGCAATTTCCAATAATTGGGTAGATTTTTTTTCAAATAATTGGAACAAGCCATCTTGAAATGACTCTGGAGCCATTTAAGACATTTTGCATTATAGATGACCAATTTTCATTCCGTGCGATATAAATATTGCATGCGAAAACTAGTAGCCAATAATATTTGCCCCAGATTTTTTTTTTTCCAATTCCTGGCTCAAGGACCCAGATTTTTGCTGAACTGAAAACACAAACTTGGAATTAATTTAAATAAGAAAGAAAGGTGGCAATGGTTATGCTACTGAAAATGCCTGTTAATGATTTTATGTGTTCATAATTGTGCGCAATGTTGTAAGTTGATAGGCAAAGCTCCTTAATTCTGCTTTCTGTCACGAATTATTTTAGCAAACCTTAGCATGTAATCACTACTATTGAAAGCCAAATGGGAAACCATCAAGCATTAGCATAATAGCACATYGCAAATGGCAAATCTTGTAAATAATACATTTCTATCCTACATTTATAGCTCCATATGAAACAAGCAAAAGGTGTTTGATACCTTAGCTTAGCCTTGCTGCTGCTGCCGCCGAGTGGAAAGACGCCTCCATGTGAACCAAGATAGATGCCAATTTTCCCTGCAGAGCATGAGGCTGGCAACCTCTTTTTGCACATATGGTAGATGGATTGGTTAATCAGCCTCCGCTGAGCCTCGGGCCTAAAATTACATAGCAGCCAGACAACTGCAGCGACCCAGCTTTTGTTCAGTTACGCAAACAAACCATCACTTGTTGTTTGGGGAAAAAAATAAACTCGCTCTCTATATATTATTTTTATTGAAGTGCTGATGGCCTGATAAAACAGCTCTGCAAATCCAGGCTTTGAGTTTTCATTATGTTTATAAAGGGGGTTTTCATTATATGTATGAAGGGAAAAAAATGGCATTATTTTGTGCTTTATCAGGAAGTTGCATAAAGTACTAAAAATTTTTCTGGGCTGGCTTTAGGGGAAAAAAAAATCTGATTTTTCAGAACCTGTTTCTTTTTGAGCAGGGCAACTTTCTGCAAAGTTTCAGGAGCAGTCAAGCAAAGAGTAGCGTCCTGTTTCAGCAGTGCGGGGTTATTACTGTTTTCATACTTTCCAGGGATTTTTTTAAAGGCTGGTTCTTGCAGATGTGGGTATTTCTGGATACTTTCAGAACTTGAGAATATTTATATTACTTATAATCACTGTATATAATACATACTTTATACTATATTAGGTACCATTTATATAGTATATAATTACTATTTTTGCATTATTCGATCTCATTTTCATAGGAAAATTCTCCTGACTTTCCAATTTGGTGCTCACCTAACATGAGCTGTTCAACATTTACACATAAAAATGTGACCTTGTTCTATGTTTCAGGATGGTGGCACTGCAGTGGGATTCATGAGCTTATGCTCCACAGTAAATATCTCCTTGCTCCATGAATGTTTTGATTTGGGACCCTTCCATGGACTCTGTAAGCCACATCCTGATGATATTCTGAAGATGCCGCTGGAACCAAACTTTCAAGAAGGTATCTAAAATGCTGTGTAGGTTCAAGGTGCATTTATTTGGTTGGTTGGAATGAGACATGAGTTTTTTAATAGGAAGAAAACACAATTGAATGCAACTGTCTTAGAGGTGGTAACCTGCTCTTTTTTTTTTTTTTTTTTAATTCAGAAGAAAATTAAAGATCAAAAAGATGTTTGTGATCTTTGGCTGCGAAGCAGTTGCTGCTCCTGAGGAACTGGTATATAGCAGTTTGTTGGGTTATAGGCTGTCTTGAAACAGATGTATGGGGTGAATATAGGTTTCAGTTCTTGGAAAGCTAGAGCATTAGGTGTATTTCCCACAAGCAAGTACTATTGTGCTGTTAATTGAAGGTGTAATTTTGAATTTGTCGTTTTGTTCTAACGTCTGTCGGTAGTTAAGCAGCTGAGTAACGGTGGCAATTGTGTTGTCCTCTTGACCCATGTCCTCTTGGCTTCCATGTGGCCCATTGTCCTCTTATCCATGTATTGTTTGCAGTGCTACTTCAAGGCTACGAGACTTGGGGGGACCAGGGATGATCTTTGTTTTATTCTTCATAATGGCATGATATGACCAGCCATCTACAAGCCACCTTACTGCAAATAACATATGTCACCTGTYGGTAGAACAGAAGTCTAGTCTGTGATTTCTGTTGTCATCCTCATTTTTCAGTGTTGAAGAGGGTTGTTTTTGTTCAGAAGAACAATATTTTGCTACCTATTAATTAGCAGCAGTAGAATTAAAAGAAACCCTGTTAGGTTTTTACATATCGACTTGTCTGAACACAAAGCATGAAGCAAGAAAAAGCCCTGAACGGCCCCAGAGCAGCCGCCAGCTGCTGTCTGAGAGCTGGCAACCATGAAGCACAAAAGGGAACGAAAGAAAGAAATCTCTTCTAGGTATTCCTGTGAGCTTCTACTCCTCTCCAAGGGAAAATGTTGCTACTAACAGATTCAGGAATCCTGCTGTCTTATCCTGTGTCATTCCATGCTCCTGGAGATTCAGAATTGGTGGCAGACATATGTTAGAAAGATAAATAGGACAGAGAGGAAGAACCACTGTTAAAATAGTCTCTTACCTTCAGAAAAAGACCATTCCCCTTCCCTTCCCGTCCTGTCCCGTCTAGACTCCCTTGCACCTTTTAGCCAGGTAAAAACAATGATTGAAAACATCTTATCTACCCTAGAAAGTCATGGAAATTTATTTTATTATTGGAACTTAATACAGAAAATGTGCTGAAAAGTGTTAATTTTTTTTTTAACTTTAAAACTGAAAATGTTACCGGTTAGCGTTTTGAATATCTAGCTAGTGTGAGAAATGTACGTTTCTTAYTACGACTCTTGTTTTACTGCTGCAGATCAGATCTGACCAGCAGGAAATCTCCATGTATTTATGGACCTCATCTGTCATATTTGGATCTAGTAAGACCCACAGTCACTTATATTTTTGTTTTTCTTGTCCAGGGACCTCAAGATGTGGGTCTGTATTTTGTGACAAATTCTGTGTTGCTCAACCTCTTAATGAGTATATGGTTAGAGATTTTAACTACACATTTCTTAGGTCTTAATTCTTAAACAATATGTATGTAAGTTTTATTCTAAATGGGAAAAGCTTTGTAAAACAAAACAAAACAAAAAACAAAAAACAAAACAAAACAAAAAAAAACCAAACAAAAAAACCCAACCTATTCAGGTTCTTACATGACTGTCATCAGTCTGACATCTGAGTGCTTTTCAGAAGCACACTAAGCAACCTGGTAAGTGTTCTCCCACGAGATTACCTTTCTTATTTTTCCTCTTAGTTTAAAATGTACGTTGATTTTGGTGGCTGATTTTGGTTTGCAATGTGGTATGCTTGTTTTTGAAGGAAGATTGACAGAAGTTGCATCATCTCTGCATTTGGAAAGGCAAATTAGGTTGATGTTGTGCATCCTGTGAAGTACCTGTGGTAATAAGCAATTCACCAAGTACTCGCAGGCAGCCTTGAGTGCCACCTTTGCAGATGCAGCTCTGTTTGTAAAACCAAAAACTTGAGGCTTTCTATATTTAAGGGCAGCCATGGAGAGAAGAGAGAGAATTATAGATATCCTTCCTAGCAAATATCTTTAGCACAAACCCTGAGCACCTCAATGATAGATGCCCGAGAAGAAACTTGATTATTTTAAGAGCCTGATTCTGGTATCGTTCTTAGAGAAAGGGAGCAAGAGCCTCCAGAAGTTTTGTAGCAAAATTAGAGGTAGCTAATGGCTATCTGTTACTCAGGAAAATTCATTCTGTTATTACTGAATAGTAATGAAAATAATTGTGGTGGGTTTACACATTTTAGGACAATTGGCAACATTTTGAAGTGTTGTTTGTCCACATTGTGATGTCTTGAAATGTTATCTCTGCCCAGGATAGACAAGAAGAAAACAAAAAAACTAAAGGCTGTTGTAGTCAAATTTTAATGAAAGGCAAAAGAAAGAGGAAAAAAAACCAAAAATATGTTGTTATAATATGTCATTTCTAATACTCTGGAATAAAGTGACTGTTGTTACTTTGTCCCTGTTTACTGTCCCTGTTTACTGTCCCTGTTTACAGAGGTTTGTTGTAGTTTGTTGAAAACACTTTATGTGATAGCTTTCTGTAAAAGGAGCTTTTCATTCTGCTGTTTGGCATTTGAGTTAAGAAAAAAAGCCCATATTTTTTGAATAAAAATCCTGTTTCCTTCTGAATGATGCAATTTTATTTTTTGCAGTTGATGTGACTTAAAGGTCATTTAACCAATCATTCATAAATAACTGCCAGGAGAAGTGTCATGTTTCATTTGCTGTTAAGAAAGGAAAAGAAAAAAAAGCTCATCATTTCAATCAAGATTTTCTGGGGCAGGGAAGGGCAGGAAGGAAAGGAAAGGAAAGGAAAAAAAAAAAAGGAAAAAAAGATTCAGTTTCCCTTTGTTCTGACATGTTAATTTTCTTAAAAATGTAGTTTGGAAAGGAAATGAGGTCTTGCTTTTGTTAGTCTCAGATCCCATATATGAAAGTTGCCTTATTTAGTCCATTTGTATGTCTTTATGATAGTCAGCTGTTTATACGTGAGCACATTGCATAACATATACGTGGCTATAGGGATGTTCTCTTCATGACTGCATCATTTCTGCAGCATTGCTGTCTTGGAAATTCACTTCCAAATTGTCTCTTGATGTGAAGTCGGAGAAGCTTCCCTGGATACCTTCCATCAGCAAAGGATATGGGCTTCCTTGTCATGAATGCAGAGCCTGAGATTTTAAAATGTAAAGCTTCATTCCCTTGTAGAATAATTTTATGTTCCCCTATAAATAACCCTGGTACTGAGAATTTTTCAAGCTCTTTAACTAGATGTAGCGCTTGTAACAGAGACCACGGGTTGATACTATATTTCCTTTCAAAATGTAATACTGAATAATAATGCAAGTGTACACAGAAATCAGTGTTTAGCACGGTATTGATATACCACTTACATTTCATGGAAATTACAGTAATTTGGCTGTTACTCTATATGGTGTCATGAATTAGCAGCTAGAAAACATTATGATGCAGTGAGAATGATTCAAGGGCTTTTCATCAGGCTTCATGTTGAACTGGCTTTTTGATCCTGCTGACTGCAGCCTCCGCTAACAACCCAGCAATCACACAGCTATTTTAATTTGCTCCTTTTTTTTTTTTTCCCTACATGTTCCTTATTAATTTAGGGCGATAATATTTATGTTCTTCCCAGTCACATGTGTGTAGTATGCATGTCAACAGCAGTGCAGCTCTATTTGACGGGAGCGGATGCTGGAGCTATTAAGGGGCTTCATTTCAGTCTAAAGTCAGAAACAATATATCAATATTTACATGACAGCAAGAGGCCTGTATTAATTAACTTCTGACACCTGCAAGGCTGTTTATAATGAGAAATGTTGCTGGGTTAATCAAGACGACATTTGATCATTTCTGTGAAGTCTCACATCTGTGATACCCCTAGAGAAGCTGGGATTTCTAACCCCAGAGTTTCTTCTTGCCCTGCACGTTGCAGCTGCCTCTTTTCCAACTAGCAGATTTTCAGATAAAAGAATTTTTTGGCAATACATTGAACTGGAATATTTTAAACCTGTGAGCTTTTTTTTTTTTTTTTTTTTTTTTTTGAGAATTCTTATGTTGCTGGAGATGCCCAATGTATTCTCTGCAACAATGATCTTAAGAGCTTATTAATTAAAACTTATTTTCACAGACTTATGTATAAAAATAGTGAACAGTATCTGTAAAATTAGGAAGGTCATAATTTAGAGAATAGCAGAACTATTGAGGATACATTCAGGGGCTAAAAATATAGCAGCTGGCACTTTGCTTTGGTAGTTTTCATGGTTATTTGGTGTAACATACAGGATTTGCAAGTATTTAGAGGTTTCTTGTCTAAGCTGATTTTCAAGCTGTTGGTCCCTAATGGTAACTTTACGTGTGAGCTTTATGGTGGGTTATTGGGCAACCTGTGGTTCTGAACATCCTTCCCTTTCACTGTCTTTAAAGGAAAATAAACTGTGGCAAAATAATGAAGCTAATTTATCTCTGCTCTGGACTTGGCTCTAGCCAGGGAATACAGTGGCAAAAAATGCATTTGTATGGSTGTGTAATGGGACTGCCTGACGTACAGGTGTTTGCTATTTAAATRGTTTAAGTATTTCATCAGAAATGGTGTGTATATACCTGTATATTGTATCTCAAACATGTATATCATGGCTGTTTATCACATCAGGCAATGACTAACTATAAATTGATGGATCCAATGGCTGCAAATAATTTCATCGTATAACGTTTGTCYTCTGTTTTGGTCACAATAATGTCACTCCTGGGGTTAGGCTGAACACAGCTACGATGTTACTGAGCATGGAAGGACGATGTGTTAAACAGATTTAAAACCTGGTCTACCTTGAGTTGATGATTTTCCTAACTTGCCCTTCCTTACAGTGGAGCCCATTTATTCCTCCTTTGGGTTGCTGCTATGTAGGTGTGTTAGATGATGGCTGATGTGTTAGACAAGTTAAAGGAGGAAGTAGAAGGGAGAATGATTGATCAAACAACCTTTTATAAGAAAGAAACAAGGATTAGAAAAGTTAGTTTAGGAGCTGAGRTAGGAATTTCGATCCCTGTTTCTCATCTCTATTTCCTCCTGGTGCTGGCTTAGCCAAATTTCAGTCCTGGAAGGAGATTTATTTTTGAATCAAGCGCACTGCTCATCCTCACAGCCATCAGAAGAGAAATTAGCAGCAGACATAGGAACTAAGATTGGAGTCAGTACAACTAATTACTAATTATTTATCTCCTGATAGGGTCAAAACTCGTTACGTATAATATGTTAGTTAGGAATTGCTTCCAAACTGTGTCCTGTTTAATTTTTATTTTAAAACTACTTCTTTGATTTTTGTCTTAAGGTCAAATAGATGAAGTTAGCTAAGCAAATATCTCTTTTAACTGTGGTTGCACAAATGTTCTCAACAGGGGCGGTCTAGCCCAAGTTGTTCTTATCGCTGTGATTGTGACSGCTAAGCTCACACTTCTAAGCATGTCCCATGCATTTATTCCTTTTCATTACTCAGATGAAGACGAAAGCAAGCAAGAGAGTCAAGAAGCAGATTCTGTTTCATCTCAAAACTTTGAACGTAGTGGTGATCAAGATGCAGCTATTCAGGTAATACTACCACAGCAGTAGCACAGCAATGCTAATCTGCTCCTAAAACTAAATTGCAGCTGAGGGGGAGGTTGCAGGGACAAGCAGTGCTGCCTGCTTCCCCTCCTGCACCATCCCCTATATGTGCCCGGTGCTGCTGTACAATGAACTGAGTCAGAAACTGCCCCAGAACACGGAGCATAGTGGGAAATGCAACTTCAAGGGGGCTCTGCTCTGCCCACTTGAGTCTGTACTTTTAAAGAAATTTTTTCTTTACGGTGTTACTGATAACTACATCTGTTATCAACAGCAAGCTGCCAAAGCTGTTAAGGGCAGCATATTCTTTCTGTGCTGCTTCTACTCTTTCTAGTAATAAAATATATAGCATAGAGACAGGTCTTCTGGATCCAGATGGGAAAATCACATGGTAAGAGAATGGAAYAGGGATTTCCAGATTCTAGAGCAAGGGACACGAGCACCATCGCTCATGGGATCCTGTCTGGGGAATGTGTTACAAAGAACTCAAGRCTTTATGCTTAAATGCTTCTAGATGTTTTTGCTGTCATTAGCCTAACCTTGTGTTGCATTCTCAGATAAAGAAGTTGATTTTAAGCACATTTTTTAATGATTGCAAGGCTGCTAATCTTTTGCAGTTTTGCACAGACGGAACATTCCAAAACAGTACGAACCCAATCTCTGATTGTAAAGGAAGAAAAATAGAGGCCTTCAGGTGTGCCCATTACAGTATTTCATGGAGAACATCCTCTAGCTTTAAAATATCTTAATAATTTTATAAAAAATATTGTCTAGGCAGCCTCCAGCAAAGTAGATGTTATCACAGTCCAGACGTAGTTTAGCAGCTGTATGTGGTGAACCAGCTAGATGTTGCACAGCTTCAGATGTGAACCAGCTAGATGAGAGGAGGGAGGCAGAGAATGGGCCAGAGTGTAGGAGGAACACGGCTTCAGACACCATTTCCTTGCAGTCTGCAAGAGGAAACAAGGTAACTCTTCTCATATTTGAARTGTTCCTTAAAAGTCCCAAACCATATTCTTAAGACAGAAATTCTTTTTTTCAGGCAAAAAAGTAAGTTTTGCAACATCATTCACTAAACCTCRATAGAAGTTGAAAATCTGGCAAAAAAAAAAGTTTGCTGAAAGTTGCTGGAAAAAAGGAATAAATAAATAAAGTTAAGGGAACTCAGAACATTTAAAGCAGTCCTATGCAGTAAGACTATGTTTAGAAACTGAGTACTGAAAGTGAATAAYCACTTTCCTCTGCAAAATGACAGCTAAAACTCTTACATGATTCACCTGAAATCGTATAAAGGAGACTCCTTCTGTGGTTCCTGGTAGTCAGAAACTTTGGCAGAGGGGCTGTCTTGCATTTTGCCACAAGCAGATAAGGGTAGAATCTGTAATTTTCTCTCCTGCTTTTAAAACAGCTGTATGATTCTCCAACGTATCCCATTTACTTTGGCTTTTGTATAAGGGAGTGTTACTTTCATTCGCACTGTATCTGCAAGAAATTGTGAACTACTGACTGCTTTGGTACTGACTGTGAAATTTATTTTCCTGCTTTAAAACAAAAGACACTATAAATTAAAATATTGTAATTCGGCATTTTTGTGTAGAAGAATCAGTTCAAAGTCAGTACCTTACTTGCTTGCTTTGCTCGTTTCTTTTGAAATGAGGCATGTAATGCTTTGGATGAAGTTACTATTTCCGAGCTAAGCCCTGGGAGTTATGCTAGTAAATCTGGCAGATAGTGCTGTCAAAACAGGGCTTTATTTTGTCCTGTATTTATGTAGCATCCAATGTGAATGGGGCTTATACAGCATTATGAATCGTTAGCACCAAATTGGACATCATTTTTGTAGGTATGAAAGGAGGATTTTGACTAAGCTSCTCTTCTGAAGCAGGAGACTTTATAAGTGAAAATATTAGTACACAGGAGAGTAAATCTGGTAGTGCTGTAAATCTTCTGGTAGTAAATCTTCTGGTAGATCTGTGTATTCCTAAAGGGTTGAATTATGTAATGACAGAACCATCCCGTTGCCGTTGCGGCAAGCCTCGTTCACTAGCTGGACTGACCTGGGGTTGTCCTYGCCCCAGGGCCATAGAGCACAGACACCAATATGAGGATGCAGCAAAYGGCGCTTATTGCGTTGTTCAGTCTGCATATATACTCCAGTAAAATGCGGAAACTCACCTACTGCCCAATCAGGAGACTAATTTCTACTTCTTGCCTTGTATGGCGTGGAGTTATCAGTAAGCTGTGTGTATTAATTATGCTCCTAACTTCCCGTGGCATCGCGAGATCTTCCGAACGCCATGCCCTATGCTCTGCGCCCTATGCTACATCATCTACTTATGCTAAGCTCTCTACTTCATTAAGCCCTAAAAGTATGACAAATTCCCACACCATTCAATTAATTTATTTTAGATGGAGTGTGAATCAATGGAGAAAGTATCCCAAGAAAYCTTAAATGGTTCTGTCTGCCTTATAGTCTCTCTTTTAGGGCTGTGTCAAACTGTTCGTCCTTTTTTCCAATAATTGTGCAGTTACATTTCCACAATATTCTCTGAATTGGTTCCATTCTCTTTAATTAACATTCTTTAATTTTCACATAGTTCCAATATGCATCTGGAAACAACATTTCTGTATTGCAAAGCATTTCTGAAAGATAAATATTTTACTGCCTCACAAAGGAATTCTAGTGAAAACTGTGAGCTTGCGGATATATTACTCTCCCACAATAAAGAACATAGCCTTATAAAGAWTAAAAAGAATATAGCCTTTTATTCTTTTAAGGCCATTTTAAACATACTGTTTCACAAGCAGGTAGATTTCACTTTAAAAATGCCTCCTTAACCTTCGGTGGTTGTGAAGATGTGACAAAGGAAAAGTGAATCCCTGCGTGTCTACTAGGAGATAGGAGGGATGCAAAACCTTTTCATTAAAGAAGGAAAATGTCTCTGAACGACTGTCAGTGATCTCTTGTCTCTTACTGTTACAGCAGGATGCGGTAGCTGTTCCCCATACGGAGCTGCCGTTAGATGATGTCAGAGGCAAAGATTTTAAGTTTGCAGCAACACCTGTCTTGGAGACTGAAGAAGAAGATGCTTTTCGACCYGTGTACAGAGGGACTTCCAATGTGTTCTGTATCCGTCTGTTTTGTATAGACAAGCAACATGAAAGTAGGCAAGTATGGATGGGCCTATGGGCGTGTAGTCCTCTTGGTGGACTTGGAAATACTGTTTGCTTAAAAAGTGGTATGAGTCTCTGATATATTAAAAAGCATTCATCAGTGTGTGTGGTACTCTCAGCAGAGAGTAACTGTTCCAGAACACTTAAAAAATGGACAACATATTCTAAAATAAAATGATGTTTTTGGCAGATGAGGACTCATCCGTAATACTGAAATAGCCAYGGAACACTGTGATTCCATTCTTGCTGTACTGGGAAATAGCCTCTCTGTAGAAGAGTCAGGTTTTCTACTCATAGTATGCTGCTGAGGATAATAAGGGCCTTGCATTTCTTTTTCCACTTCTGGCATTCCCTCCTTCCTGTGTACTATGGTTGCTTCTGCTCAAGGTATGTCCACTGTGTTTATCACTGAACACTGCAGATTGTTGTCTCTTTTTTTTTTTTTTTTTTTTCCCCACCCCGGGGACATCTCTGAAGCAGTTTGGATTCTCAGATGGATATCTATGGGGAAGACAGGATTTCTTTCTGTAGACTTTTGCCAAGATTAACATTTATTAGCATCCATGCATGATTCTCTCCTCATAGCTGAGGGTTCTGTAAGTCTTGTTATTTTGAAATATGTGTTTTTGTTTGGATAGSTCCCTGGTTTGCATTAGCTTGATCCTCCTGTTTGCAGAGAAGCAGGCAGAATAGCAAATGCGTCTGAGGGGAGGGCGGCATGAGGCAATTCTGCTGGGGATCAGTGTTGGAGAATTTTGTCCTAAAGGGACTGCTGCTGACCCGACACAATGTGGATCCAGAAATAGCCATTTGCTTGAGATGCTGGTATGATTGCATCTTAGCCCTCAAGGAGAGTTCACTACTGAGGAATTTGTGTTATCCAGTGAAGTTGCCAAATGTTTCCATCTCTTTAAATTTGTGCTTGTCATGTGGCCTGTAAGAGCACTGCAGGACCCCAGGGACCTTCAGAAGGTCCTGAAGGACTTGAACTTCTAGTCTACCTTCTGTATCTGGCACCTTTGTAAGTCCCCTGAAGTCCCCTTCATTCCAGAATTCCATGTTGCCAAGAAGGTACTAAATGCTGGAGAACAGAAAATTACACTGCGAAAGCTTCTTCCTTCCCCCATTCAGCTATGCTATTAACTAATCTTATACAGGGGACTATACAATACCCCAATCCAAATCTGTATTTATAACTTTTTGTTTAGTTAGTAATATTATTATTGGTGAAGTAATAAAAGGAACTTGACTATTTTAATTACCTATCTGGAGAGAGGAGGTATTTGTCAGTGTTTTTAGGTAATGTATATCTGTATTGAATATTCTATTATGGGAAAATACTTTGTAAACTTTCAGCATAACAGTATTTGGTGGGTTTAGAGCTCTGTCCTTGGACATAGAAGAAATAGGATGAAATAGTTAGATTTGTCCTGTCTTTTTAAACTCAAATATCACATTTCACTGTCACCATGGAAAAGAGAGTGAAATTATTCTAAACCAGTAGGTGTGAAGTGAAAAAGAGGGAAGTGTTCAAAAACGATTTCAAAGTATTGATGTCTCTGTTATCCTGAAGTCCATTGGGTAGATTTACTGAATGGGTAGTGACAGAACTCTCGGTACATGATGGAAATAACAACTGTTTGTAACTTCAGTGAATGTTTACTACATATTAAGAGCATCCTCTATGAAAGTCCTCTGAAAAAGCTTCAGCATCTGACTGAGATTTTCAGTTTTCCTTTTTGGTGAAGAGACCAATGTTTTGATATGAATTCAAATGTTGAGGTTTATTCCTGTTTATATTGCTACTTTAGGCATTCAAAGTCAATAACTCAGGTGCATATACAATATCTGAAAGTGATTGATTATGAACCAGAAAAAAATCCTGATTAGCACTGTGAATGTGTTCCCTGCATATACGGAGAAGTAATTTTTTTTTTTTTAATATATGGTGTCTATTTGATATGCACTTTATTTATGTAACAATGTTTGCTTTTGGTTGCAGATCACTGGATTTATTGCATTATGCTTTCCAGCTTTTTCCGGTACGTGTAAGCAAAGTATTAAGGTGAAAAATGTATGTTAAGATATGATAAATAATATTATTTTTCCACTTGTACCTGCCTACTCACATTTCTCTTACCTCTGGAAAAATGCATTTAGGCTCTACAAGGAGAGCCTGATGAGGTTTCATTTCTTCTTGTGGGACAGTAGCACAGCAACACATCAACAATTAGCTCATCATTTTTTTGCTATACACTATGATATTCACAGAGTTGCTTTAATAGTCTTGTTAATCAGTGTGCCACTCTGAGGCATGTGTAGAAGGCTTCATTAGCCAAAATGAATTATTTGAAGAGCTGTCTAAGGAGTTCTCAAGATAATGCTTAATTTAAACAGTGAAATCACGTAGACTTTTTCTGTTTTTTTTGCACGTACCCGAATCTCAAGTTCTTGCTCTGATTTATCTAGTATTGATACTGCCTTTGAAGTTAATTTGCATGAGTGCATGATGCTTAGAAAAATGGCTTTTGCACATCGTGTACCTTAGTTCTTTGCATGCATCCCAAAGGAACCCTGCTGAGAAACAGATTTGGAGAACAAACTCCTCTAAATTCATATATAGACTTAGACTTTGTCCAAATTAAAAATAAAGTCAAGGAAAACACATGAAAGGAGAAGGAATTAAAGTAGTATTAAGAAAATTTGTATAATTTGCCTGTATCCTAAACAGTTGAACTTATGTACAGGGCAAAGCTAATGTGCAGCTAAGGAGGCTGTGAATTTATAGTGCACTAATTATTTCACCCTAACTCCCTGCATAATCAATCTTTAGATAAGGTAACAAGCTCCACTTGATAGGTGATTTTAATATACACTGCAGCGTGTTTTAAATTCATACTTTAAATTACTGCATAGTAGCCATTTCTTAGAGACAGGACCCTGATAATAAGAGATAGAGAGTTGATTCTAAAAATCATCATTGTTTCCAAGTGCTTGCTATCAGAAATTTTCCCAAGTGGAGACTGGAGTAATATCAGCACTAAGTGACATGTTAACTTATGTTCCTGAAGAACCTGAGTGCAGAAAGCAGGCCTCCTAAGTCCTCWCTTCAGAGCCGCTCTCCAGCAGGTCAGCGCAGCCTGTCCTGGGGCCTGGTGTTATTCCTGCCTAGATGTACGACTCTGCTCTTGCCTTTCTTGAGCTTTGTGAGATTCCTCTCTGCCCACCTCTCCAGGTCYCTGCTCCCAGGGTGTACTCTGTCCCCTCCCCCAGGTCATGGATGAGGAAGATGAAAAAGACTGGGACACCCTGCTAGCTACAGGCCTCCAGCTAGGCTTTGCACTACTGATCACACCCCTGTGAGCKCTGCCCTTCACCCAGTTCTCCATCCACCTCACTGTCCCTTCGTCTAGCCCACACTTCCTCAGCTTGCTTTGACTGTCATACCAGGTTCTTATATGGACCCTGTAACACAGTGACATTAGCAATGTCAAATTTAGCATGAGCTGGACTTTTTTGTACATATGTAAACCCAAATTGATCTGATCTGCTGTGAACATGATATAATATCAATCCATATGTGCAGTTGATGTTAAGATCACTGAGTGCCTGTATTCTTTGCATATGTTTTTAGGACAAGGACTTCTGCATCGTCCTCGTGCCCCATCTCACACCCGAGTTCCATCTGATCCAGAGTTTCGTTCGAGTTGTCCCTTTCTGTACTTCCACATTCAATCATGAGCTTTACCTCTTCCACCGTGTTGGATTGCTCAAGTGAGTCATGTRCTCTGTGGCAATAAATATTCTCTGACGTGCTTTCGTGGAATGTACTTGCTCCATACAACCTAGCACCCCATGGGTGCTCCTTCTTCACATTAGAACAAACTGCTATGTCTGGTGGTACAACACATCTTCTAAAAATGAGAACTTGAGTCCCAAAAGCAGTGCAGGACTGTGCCTGCAGTAAGGAGGGTTTCTGTATTTCCTCCTCAAACCTCAACCCGTGGCTTTTACTTACATTGATCAGCAGAGTGCTTATGGATGTTGTGAGAATCTTGCAGTATGATGGAGTTCACCTAAATGAATCCTCAGTTTTACATCTCCCTCTCTTTAATTCTTTAGGGTACTGTGATGTGCTATCTGTATTTATGCTAGCGACAGGAAAATGGGCCTCTGACTGTAGCCTCTAACTGCCTGATAAGTAGGGAGCAATGAGATGCTCATCCTCTGTAAGGAGGGGCTGACAGCAACTTTGGCATTTGGTGGGTCCTTGCTTGGTTTCTGCTCCTGCCTTGCATTTTTTTTCAACAAAGATGGTACTTTAAAAAAAAAAAAAAAAACTTTTTGGTTTTGTGGCAGAGTTTTTGTTTTGTTTTTTTCCCATATTTTTCATCATTTTGTGAAGGGGCCTAATTTTTGCCTGTTTGTTTTGTGAATTTTACTTATTTTGCTAGAGGAGTTTGATGTGGTTTTCTTTGGGGATTTTTTTTTTTTGAGCTGTCTTTTCTCTCCACAATTATTTATGGTTTTGGTTTATTTAATTATTTTACAGATTGGCGGAGAAGTTTAATTAGAGAGGGATTATTTTAGATAGTTTTGTGGTTCTGATGCTTTTGAGGCAGGGAGATTTTGGGCAAGTTTTTCCCTATATTTCCCTATGTTCCCAGTAGTTTTTCTTGCAGTTCATTTGTCTCCCTGTTTATTCATTTATTGATTAGGATATGGGTTGCTATCTCAGCACGAGAAATTTTGTGAGGTTTTGAAGGGTGGGTTGGTTGGTTGGTTGGTTGGTTTTTCCAACAGGCATTTTAACTAGCAGTTATTTGTGAGGTTGTTGGGCCAGTCCATGGACATCTCCCATGGAGACACCCCTGAGCTGCTCAGGAGGCCATGGCAGAGGTCAGCGGGTGCAGGGCTGAGACATGGTGGGACACATGCAGGAAATGGTGACCAGATTGTCCAAGACTTTACCCAGTGGAGTCTTGAAAAGCTCCAAGGATTTTTCAAGCAGCTTGGTCTCAATTCAGTGTTAATCTTCCTTTGGGCCAGGGAGCAGACTAGATGACCTTCCAAGTTCCTTCCAACTTAAATTAAGGAAAATGCTGTATATTAAAAACATATATATATTAAAAAAAAAAAAAAAAAAAAAAAAGAACACAGTGGAGGTCTTTTAGCAAGAGCTGTAAATCTAATCCCTTCCCCCTTTCCTTATGTTGTCAGCAAAGAGATAAAAATAATTTTAGAGGGAAACTCATGAAGTCTCAGTTAATCTCTGTTTCTGGATCTTCTCTGTAGTAGTCTGCCTCCCTTCATTAACTGTATTGGGAGACCCCAAGCTTAAATTCTGCTAAAGAGATTTTCCTTTCATTTGTCTCATTACTGTAGCCAATTTTTGAATGGTTGCAGAAAAACACTTATGTTTTAATTGCACACTTAATCACCTTTGGTATGCAAACAACTCATGCAGGAACTGGACAGCGACTCTTGGATCTACGGAGATGCATTTTTCCACGTGATAAAATTGATCTTCTATGTATTATGTAAGAATCCACATCTTCCCTCTAGCTGCCCACTGGAACAATTCCTGTTAATCTCAGGTGCAGCTCTTTAGTAATCCAGCAGCAGCATTGGAAGTCATAGGTTTTTTTGTTATTTTAGGTCAAAATTAACCCAATCAGAATCAATCCAAATGAAACTTATCTAGTATTTTAATGACCTTACCATTCTGATTAAACTCAGTATATTCCAAGGGATACCARCCTTTCTGAGAAACCAGAGTAAGTTAAGTGGCTTTTTACAACATCCTTGCRGCTGTGTGAGAAAGTAGGGAAAAATAATCTGTAAGTAAGGTTCAAAATCAGAAAAGCTACGGAAGAAACTAGTTGATACATTTTGAAAGTTTCTGAAGAACAGGAAATTCAGTGCAGAGTAGCAAATACTCCCGTAGATAGAAGCAAGATATGAAAAAGTAAAAGATAATTTTACTGTAGTTGCACTAGGAGCTTTCAAAAGGCACATGAATGAAAAGCAAGTCACCAAAAATGGATTAAAAGTAACACATGGATAAGAAAGTGGGAATGTAGAGACATGAAAGGGCAAAATCAGAAGAGACATGGGCAAAAAATGAGATGCTGATTAACAAAGGTTGTAAAGGGAATAAGAAAAGATATTAAGTACACAAAAAGCAAGAGTGCAGCAAATGGAAGTGTAGGTCTGCTATTTAACAGTGAAGGAGAACAAATAAAGTGTGACAAGGAAAGGGCTGAAATGCTTAATGGATACTTCAATTTTCACCAAAAAGCCTACTACTAATAATAGAGTCCTGGCTTCTGAGCAGTCAAAGGAATTGGGCATCTAGAATAAGTTAATTCATTGCTAGAAGAGAAATGAGCATGCACAGACCTTGGATAATCCTCCTTAGACTTTCTTACTCACCCTGGATCTCACTGTTGAATTTTTTTAAGCAGTTTCCATTTTTGCCTGTTCAGTTTTCCTTGTCCTAGAATTTACGGTTCATTACTGGCTTGATTGCCAAGTCTTGTATTTGATGCAGAGTCAGGGAGAACTCAGATGGGCTCGGATGCAGAGACTAAGCTCTCCTATGCGTAAGCATAGGAGAACCTCACCAGCTTGCTGCTCTTACTGACTGCTCAGTCATCTGCAGCCGCTTGTTTGATTTTGCAGCCTGTGACGTGTGAAAAGTAGGAACTGACCTGAAGCGCCCTTAGAAATTCAGGGTTAGTTTGTAACTTGGATGTTAACTACAAGGTAAATTATGCAATTTAGTGATCAAATGTCTGCTTTGGAGCCCTCAGTCAAGTTGGAAATGTTCTATCAAGTTTTAAGCTATGAAATRTCTCATATTGGGGGTTTTGTAGCAGTAGTCTTTAAGTTGTTAGATCTGATTTTTATCAAAAACATTTTTTACAAAATCAACTTGGATGTGACTTAACAGGATGAACAGACACATTAAAGTCTAAATTGAAAACAAGAACAGGGATGGAAACTACTATATGATTTCCAGTTTTTGTTGACTGGGGATAAATTGTCTTATTTCTTGGAAATTAAGTGTTAATTGAGTTCCTTGAACAGGAGCACTCTGTAAGTCTTAATTATATGAGCAATCAAGGAAGGTTGCTGTCTGCAGGAGACAACAAAGGAAGGCTCCTCAGCTGCTCTAAAAAGTCACAGCTACAGTTAATGGAGAAGAGTGGTGATAATTTGCACCAAATGAAGATCTTGGTTGAGGACTAGAGTTAATGAGCTTAGTCCTGTGTRTTGTTGGGGACAGCTATGGCCTGCCTGCTTGGTGGCTCGTGTACCTCTATAAGATGTGTTCTTTTCTCTGCTAACTTGCTGTTTCATGTAATCAAGCAATGACTTATCATATGCACTTGAAATGGGAACTTGACTTGTTGCACACCAAACCTTTCCTCTTTTTTTTTTTTTTTATCTTTTCCTTATAGATCATTCCATATAAGAAAAGCAACAACCAATGATATTCCTGGTGTTGAAAAGCTCATTAAAACTCTTAGCTTGAATGAAAGTATATTAAATGACCTAAAGATGTTTACCGTGGCTCGCAAGGATCCAGTGAGTATTTTTGCAAATATAATTATGAAAACAGAATGGGCAAATATTGGTAAAACACCAGGTAGGTGTTTACACGTAGGTATTCAGCCAACAGTTAGTAGTTTGAATTCAGCCTGACATGCTAATTCCTTAGTTGTGGCCTATATTAATTAGTATTCTTTTCTAAAATCAGACCCACATGACTGAATTAGTGGGTGCTTCTATAGCACTCTGTACTCCCATCGCAGACCTATAGCAGCTGGATCATGAACCTAAACTTTATTTCCATAAGGTGATATGTGGTCAAGGATTATGCTTTGATTGAGGATTATGCCTTGAGTTAAGGAAGAGTGACTAAATTGGGATGCAGCATAGAATGGATGTGTTGTAACTGTGATCATGTGATGCAATAGGAAATGATGATTAAATAGTGAAATATGTGATGTAAGGAAATTGGAAGCATGCATTTACTCAGCTTTTTTTTCCCTGCAGGAGGGGACTCCAGTGCAGGCGTTTGTAGCAGAAACTTTGGATCAAATAGTTGGCGTTTCTGTTATTAAAGATGAAATGGTAATTTGTATTTGTATTTTCCCCACTTYCTGGGTTTGCCTTGTACGAATGCTCTAACACTTAGCCCTCAAGACCAAAAGCTGCATTCCTTACTTGTCACTATACATGTATATAGCAGCAAACATCCTTAACAAAAAATACTGCTTTTATTAACTTAGAGTCTGCRGACACAGGAAAGAGAGAAAAATAGTTATTTCCCTTCTCAGATGTCATGGCTGGATACACAGGGGAAGAAAAACCATCCTCTTATTTTTAGTTCTCTGTGACAAAGTCCTTCTGCCTCTAAATTTATTGCTGCAGTCACCTATTTTGCTGCCCCATTTCCAAAGCCAATAATCTTTTTTTTTTTTCCATGGCATACTACAAAGGATAGCAACTCTCCTACGTTTACTTTATTATTTTTTTACTGACAGTACCTCCAGAATGACTGAATCGCACACAGTTAACTTCAAAAAGATCTAATTCTTCATTGGGGTGCCAAAAAAACAAGKACATTTATCTGTTATTCTTGAGAAAGTAAGCATTTGTTAAGGCTTTTATTTGTTCTGTGACGTTCTTCTGATACTGAAAACATGGATTTTAGATCTTATAGTGCTCAATTTTTAAAATAAATAGTGGTGACTCCTGTTTTCAAAGAAAGATCTTAATATCAAGAGCATTAAGAGGTTATAGCAGTTTTGGTGGAATGTATATATGTGCAGAAATCTCAACTTTTACCACTTCGGGAAAAACTTCCCCACAAGGGAAAACTTGTTGGAGTCATTTCTTGCACATCACTTCTCTGTAAAATTCCCTTCTCTCAGCATTGTAAGAGGGCGACCTGTGTTTCCCTGTCTTTAACAGCAAAACAGAGAATTAGGACTCATTTTCTGTTGTTTTTCTCTTGTGTTTTGTTTGTTTGTTTTCAATAATTTCCATTAAATCATATCATATGTTCTTGTGATGGATCAAATATTCATTCTCTGTAAATAAATGCAGGCATCTTACAAAAATAGATGTTTATACAATGGGAAAATGGTCAAGAACCATGTTCAGTCATTATATTTGGATTGCAAATACCTCTCAAAGGCCTTCACTTAAGTGTTCACAACTTGTAGGTACTTTTTTAGTATTGTAGAATTGACTGTTTTATCACTACTGAGATTTCCAAATTCCTTTTTTGCAGGATATTGAGTATATTCATACACATTAYAATATTGAAGATTTTATTAATTTTTATTACCACCAACGAGAGGAGCATGGACATCTATATCATTTTGTGTTAAATCCCATATTTCGTCACTATACCAAACACTTTCTAAAGGAGATTCTTCGTTTGGCCCACAAGTCTTCTCTTTACTACCCTATTTATCCACAGTATGTGGAAGGCAAGGTAGGAAGTGTGTGATTTATCTACTAAGTATTGTCACTGCTGCTCACTTCATTTTATTTATTTGTTTATTTTTGCTTCTGTGACTGTGAACATGAATTTCTTTTAGCTGTCTGGAGCAAATTGATTTCTTATTCCTTTCATGCCACAGAATCTGCATTCTTGACATAGCTGATGACAATAGGTTTAGTCTGTAGCTTTATCACCCTTGCATTTAAAGGAGTGCGTTTAAGTCCAGACTGATTCCATACCTTCAAGCACATATGTTTGAAGTGTACTTGCAGAGTACACAGTAGGCAGAAGCTCCTCCTAAGGTGGCTCCTTCTGAGCCAAATCATGCTTTTAAAATGCCTGCTTTGCAATCAAATTTGGAGGGATTCTAGGGCAGTTGAGTTCTAAGTATAGTTAGGTGTCTGAAGTTACGTACATTAGTATGGTGCCCTGGGAGCAGCACAGCAAAGAAATAATTTGTTTGCTGTACCCTCACTTGCCTCAGGGAGAAGTAGATCTGCTTTTAACCCGCATAGGTCTTCGTACATGTGGGCACAATTTTAGCCCCCAGCATCAATGTGTTGTAGTAATGATTGTCAATTTTCTGTCTTTCCTCCATTCCCRAAACAGCTATTTCAAGAAGAAGGAGCAACCGTCTAGTATTCCCAGGTCCAAGTGGGACGCTATGTCTAAGTTGTAACCTCTAATCTAATCTAAGATAGGTTTGACTCCATCTCTTGCCTCTCTATTGGAAGTATAGCTGAAGAAGCAAAAAGCTCAGGTTATTCAGCAGTATTCATGAGGAGGCCCACATAATGTTTTTGTTTAATTGCTTTTAATATGCTGATACAACTGGCATCCTTTTATGTTACTTGCAAAGCACTTACAAAGTAGGTTATGCTTTGTAATGACAAGGTATAAAACACATGTAGTTTCTTAATTTAACGGAAAGAACTCGATTAGGCTGTGCTGTCTCATACAGCGACTCAACTGCTTAGTGAATTTTGAGAGGTACCAGTACCTGGGTTTGAATTCAGGGCAGAGAAGAGGGCAGGAAAGGGAAAAGAGGGATGATGTTACTGAGCATAACAAAGCAGGAGTTGCACATTTGAGTGGATGTAAGAACTCTTCAAAAAGAGATGTAGGTGCTTCAGATTGTGCTTCATCAACAGCCAGTGAGACCCGGTCACCCTGCTTGTGCTTCTGCAAGTGTCACTGAGGAACTGTAAGAACTTAGTGCTGTGTGACCAAATGCACATTTTAGGGAAGCACAGAATTTGTGTGTGCAAAACAAAAGTATTTATTTTTTTAAATACTCTTATGTCTTGCTATCAGTCTTCTGTCTGCCAAGAAAAGACAACAACATAAGATAAAATTCTCATATATGTAATCTCATCAATATGTAGCCATCTAAGAGCCAGTATCTGGTCTTGCCTAGGCTCCAGCAAGAATTAATGGAGAAAACATGGTGTCTTCAGAAGGCAGTTCATCCATCAATCGGGAAATAGGGTGGAAAGAATGACCCTCTAGAAACACTCATCTCTTCTTTAACTCTGGGAGATATCTGCATGGCTAGCTAGACTAAGTGTCTTCCTTTTAGATGGTTTTGAGATTAACGGTATCCCTGGTAACTTAGGTGGTTTTGAAAATGTCACCTTTTTGTAACAGAGGAATTTTGATAGGTTAGACACAGGTGCTTTTTCAAAAGGATGTCTTTTCCTACGTTGCTAATGTGCCCTTCTGTGGAGTTTTAATAAGTGTTCTCTTGAGAAACCAATGTCCTTGTGTGGCATTAGGTTCTTGGGTTCTTCAGAGGCACTTACCAAAATGCAGTGTAATGGCAGTGGATGGAAGAGAAAAGTTAAATCTTACTAATGATTCCAGTTCGGTCTATTTTGGGGTTAAAGTGAGTTACTTCAAGTTACTTGAACTCATTGTTACTTTCTAATAAGTGGTAAATGTGATATTTTGCTCAATTCTTGACATAGTAACATTAATAATATTAAGGCGGGGTTGATATTTGTGAGTGGAAAGGTACTTCAGTGTATTTTAGTTTGCATTAATGTTCATTCTCCATTTCCTGTAATTCTCTTATTTTTTTCCTTTCCATGTCATAAGGTATGACAAAGCCAGTCATGCTGTAATAAATAGGATAAGGCTTCTTCTAACGATCCATGCTCTTCCCATTAACTTCAAGTTTATGCCAGTTTATTAACATTTATCACTTGGACAAAATTGACATTTGAGTTGGTATAGGATTTCTATATAAATTCATAACAGTTCTTTGCCAAACAAGCAAAGGTTAGCAGTAAGCAGATAACATCGCTTAATGAGGTCAGATCAAGCTGATTCATGATCACTATGGAGAAAAATATCCTCCCGGGGAAAATACTTGTGCTGAAAAATCCCATAAACCAAACCACTTGTTTATCTGTCATTCCCACAGAGATAGTAATGTAATTACTCTCATAATTATCTTCATTAGTGTCAGGAATTATCTGCAATTCATTCCTCTGCTCTGAGTATGTTTGTTTATTTGCTGATTTTTCTCTCAGATTTAGCCAACAGGGCTAAGGATTTTGTATTTGCAAAGCCATACAGCCGACATCTGTGATGCACGGTGCTGACATTCTCTCTGCTGAAATATAGATTGCTGCCTTTCAGTTTCAGAATCCCTGTGCCCATTCCCTGACATCTGCCCTTCATTACATGGTTCCCGTGCGACCAAGACGACAGATTGTCTATCCTCTGGAAGAGCTTGGCATCAACGCTCCGTCAGAGCAGGTCTCCAAGGATCAGGTGGGTAACAGAAGCAGCAGCAGGCGGGAGGCATCGTGCCAGCTCATGCCGGCTTTGGCAGATGGGGTGGCATTGCCATCTTTGTGTTGATAGGCTGCTTCTTAATTACACTGAGCATGGGGTCCATACCCTTACAGTCCCAGCTTTGCTTCTGCACTGCCGTCACTTGCAAGCGTGAATTGCAAACTGAGCCTTAAGGCACTCCCTCAATTCCAGAGTTTACCTGCTAATACTTACCTGTTAGCAGGCTTTTCCATGAAATCACCTTCAAACTCGCAATACATTTAAAAATGCTTTGACTTAGCTATTTAATCACTCTTCCTGGTGGGTTTATTTGAGGTCTTCTGCACTCCCAAGTGGAAGGCACTACGTCATGCTTCTGATAACTTCTGTAGAAATAGCTTAAATCAATTTATTCTTCAGTTCTGAAGGCAGATTTCTTTCATGTACAAGATGCATTCAAAAACATGTCAAAATGTCAGAGATGACTCAACATTAAAAGAAAAGATTGCTTTCGCTGTCCATATCTGTATAGCACTCCTCTAGTCCAGAGGTTCTAAACTGCAAGTCTCTTTAAAACCTTAATTTGTTAAATTTTATAGTGTCTTAAATTTTTAAATAACTAAAATTTGTTGCAAAGTTGGTTCCCTCACAGAAGCAGCTAATGAAGCTGAAATGTTAGGAAAAAAAAGCCCATTAGTGATGGATAGTCTCAGTATGTGGCTGTAATTTACTAAAGAAACATAATTAGGGAGCTTTATATCTGTCTTCTAACTTCCAATTGGCTGAGATAGGCTCCCATAAAATATTTTTAGTGCTGTCCCTTTCACAGTTACTCAGTAATTTTTGGCATCCAGAATTCTTCATTAAGCAGTGATTGTGGCAAAGCAAAATCCAGAACATGGCTGAGGCAGTGAATTGAGTTTGGCACCATGGAACAGGCTTGTGCTCAGCTTTCACATCACTTCTGCCTTTCTCCTCTCTGCAGAATGAGTTATCTAACCTTTTTCTTTAAGCTACTTCCTATTATCTCTTAAAAATACAATGTCACTGACTGGAAGAGTTCATCTCAGTGTTTTTGTTGGAGCTAGAAAATCATAGACCTTGTACCTCTGACAGATTTTAAAATGCAGTGTGTCTGCTCTGATCCCAAGTACTACCTGAGGATTTTTGAGAATTGCAATCGGGGAGATAATGATTTAAAATATCCCAAGGTTAATGAATTCCGTGATATAAAATGTCTAGGATTTACAACAAAGAGTTGTAAATACAAGTCAGTTTTGGAGATGTAAAATTTTCATTTGGCTGCCCATCCTAATTAATTGCTTGAGGATTTCTCTCTTACGATGGAGGTAATTGTAATAAAATTTTTGCTTTGATACCCACAAGATACCCCTTGATAGCCACCCATCAGCAGCTGCTTCTCATCTCTGGCTTTTGCTTTCTGCTGTTCCAGCCTCTTTTGAGCTCACACWCTCTCTCTCTCCCCCTTTTTCTTGTTGCAAAATTTATTCTTTACCAGCAACAGCTTGGGCCTCAGCAGCTCAGCCATTTGGTGTCTGAGCACAGCTCTTGATTTGTGCATACATATCTCTGTAGGCCATTAGTAGCTTAGTATCTTAGAGAGAGTGCACAGTGGGAGCCCTGGGGCTCAATCAATTTGTATCCCTCTTTAATACATGCCAACTCACTTGTGAGCATGAAGAGATTCACTTATAAATATTGACCCACTGCAGATAACTCAGGCAGGACCCGCAAGGMCTCTCTTCCCCATTTCCTTTCTTCAAAGCCAGAAACTGCACAGTGATCTCCAGCAGGAAAGTTTGGTCTGCAGCTGATTCCCACACTTTGCCAGCCCAGATGGAACTCGCTTGTGCCGAAGATGGTTTTCCTGGAGGTCTGCCCCAGTTGTGTCACAGCCAGATGAGCACCAGAAGTTGTCTTGTTTAAGCCTGTGAGCCTCAGCGTCTGGGGAGGGAAAAAAAAAAAAAAAAAAAAAAAGGAAAAGGTAAAACTTGAACCCTCCTGCCATGGATTGCTGGCTGGCTCTCTCCTGCTTCTAGCAGACAGGATGAGCTCTGTTTCATGGTACCTAGAAAGCAATGGTCTATCTTTCTGTAGTCCGTCTGCAGAGAGCTAGACAACAGATAGAGATATCTGTGCTTAAAATCTAGGAATTTGTCCTGGAAAATCATAATTTGCCATAATGTGAGAAAGTAACTCCAGTCATCCAGCTTCCCTGTTCTCTCCATGACCTTATCATTTTTCCCCGGCCCCAAATTGTTTACAGTTTGAAATATGGATTTGGTGTTATGGCTAAAGTGATTCTCCAAAGATACAGGGAGTTCAGAAACTCTGCCTTTCCTCCTGTCTGTTGCCTGGCCTTCCTGTTAAAGATTGCTCTTAGTTTTAAGACCAACCATTTCCACTGTCTGTCTGCAACCACAACTCTCAACGTTTTGTGCTACTGTTATTTCCATTTCACAGACCTGTCATAGCCATTTCAGTGCCTATGGGTTCCCTAAAGGACTGTGAATTCTCATGATTACACTGACCTCTTCTAACAATAGTGCCTAAGGGCAAAGGATGTTTTAACCCTACTCATTCAGATGGCAAATACATTTCACTGCTGAACTTCTGCACCCGTTTCTACAAAATTTGATTTCATACCTGGTAAGATTTGTAGAAATTAGSTAAGGATTTGGATTTGCTGAGAATGTGGATGAGTGGGGAGAATTAACCTCYCCTTTCTACCATTACAGCTCTCCGCATTGGCACAGATGCTAAAGGTCTTATTTGCATCTGGTCTTGGAAGTGCCCAGACTTTGGGCACTGTTCAGCCTGTTCAGTCCGAGCTTCTGCAGCAAACAGATCAGAGATTCCACAGATGAACTCAGAATTGCATCAGGCTAGAAATACATCTGCTCTGCTATAGAGTTTCATGATGCAGACCTGACAAAAGAAACTCCTGTCTGCTCATTAGATCAAATCCTTTCTACRGCTGTTCCAAATCAAAAGGAAAGCTCTGAATTTTGTATTCTGAATCAGTAATCAGTACTGAAGTGCCAACTGGCAAAAGATCCAAAGTTTCACAATCTTAATTCCCACAGTGTTAAAACAGATTAGATTATTATCGTACTTTGCACATCTGTCAGTCATTTTAGTAAGGTTATATTAAAAACAGTTGATCATAACAGAACACTGAGTATCTTTAAAACTGCTGACTTTTAAGGTGCATATAATAATTGGTGAAATAGAAGACTATAGGTAATTAAATATTTTAATGACATCTTGATAAATACACAATTTATAAACTTGTTTGCTTTCTCGCCATCTGGGAGCATTCTGTTATCCATCTGCTTCATGTAATTATCAATAAAATAGAAGAATAGGTGATATAATTAACAAGAATAACTGATCAAAAYTGAAGAATAAAAATGTCATATCTGACAAATTATTTTATATCTGCCCCTTCATTATTACTCATGTGGTTGGATTTTTTTTTTAGTATTTTTGTTGTCATGTTCAAGCTATCAGGTTTTTTTTACACTCTTCAGAACTATTTTTTCTTCTGCTACAGCTCATAGAAAGAAGGCAGAACCGTTAATCAAGTACTGCAGAATCCCATCTAGCTTTGTATTAATTGGTAAAAAGCCTCTTCATCTTTCTCAGTTTATTGCGTACTTTTCAAGGTATGCTATAGGTGCACAAAGGAAATGTTTAAATAGGGGTAGGAAGGAAGAAGAGGCAAAAACCTGGGGTCAGATGCTCTGTGTGGCTTTGACTTCTCTGGATCGGTCCTCTTCAAACTAGCTCAAGAGTCAGCCTGGTTAGATAGATGCATGGCAAGGGGCAGAGCAAGGGGGAGAGAAGTGCCTGCACAACACTCCTTTCAGTGACACTGATTTCATTTTTGTGTATTAAACGGTATATTTTCTCAGCAGTCCTTTATAAACCAATTTTATAATCTCACATTGCATCCGTTTATTTGCCATTGGAGATGAGGCATTTTAATCAGAGGTGGCAGTTAGATTGCCCGACTCAGAGCACAGAGAGAACCTTATCAGGAGAAACACTGTCTGGAAGGGAGGGCTCCATCATTTACAGCCAGAAATGGCATGTTCATGGGCATGTGGCTTCCATCAGTACTGAGCAGTGCTGTCTGTCAGGCCTGGGAGGTGGCATCTTCCAGCTTGTCGCTGCTTGCCTTGCTCTACAGCGTTGAGCTGCTGTCCCAAGAAATTAAGGCCGGCCCAGCTTGCGCGTGGTGAGCTCTCCTGTACCAAGACCAGCCTTCATCCTCAAAATGGGATGTTTGCATTGATGTTTTGGGCAAAACTTCTGAGGTCCACTTTTCTTCTCAGAACATTCAAGGTCCTGTTTAGCCTGGAGAAGGTTGAGAGAGGATCTGATCAATATATATATAAATACCTGAGTGGTGAATGTAGGGAGGAAGATGCCAAGCTCTTCTCAGTGGTGGCCAGTGATAGAACAAGGGGCAGTGGGTACCAGATGAAACACAGGCAGTTCCATCTGCATGTGATGAAGAACTTTAGTGTGATTGGTGCCAGAGCCCTGGAACAGGCTGCCCAGGGAGGCTATGGAGTCTCCTTCTCTGGAGATCTTCCAAACCCGCCTGGATGCGACCAGGTGCCCCATGCTCTGGGAGTCCCTGCTGGATCAGGGAGTTGGACTAGATGATCTCTAGAGGTCCCTTCCAACCTCAACCCTTCTGTCACTCTGCGATTCCTTTATAGCAGTCTGTAGTAGGGCAGACTATATTTTGATTAGGGAGAAGGTCTATAGTCATATAGGAGGTTTCATTGTGTCTCCATTTCAATTCTATATGGATTGAGGTGAGTGGAATATGATGATGGAAGCTCAGGCGTGAAAGTGATTTTTTGCTCAGCAAGCCTCGTATCCCTCAGATGATATGGCAAAAAAGCTTAAGTGTAATCGCAGCAGAATTCCTCATTTTTGAGTATCAAGCTTGATATATT